TTTTATGACTGTATGAGCTATATCTAGCTGAGGTATGTTGCATGATCGCATGCTGAGATCTTGCTGTTATGCTTATGAAAGGAATTGAACTTGGATAGTTGATATGTAGTAGTAACTGATAGAAGTTGAGATTCTATCTTATGAATTAAGAAATGTTGTGATTGTGTATTTTGTTCTAACTGTAAGAATGAGGTATTGTGATGAAGGTGTATGGTATAACCATGTGGTTTGCCTCCATAGAGCTCACTATGGTTTGCAATTTGGAGATGATAGTGCATCCTCATTTGTGACATTGCATGGATTTCCTGAGACAGTATACCCCAAGGGCAACTACCCCCTAGGATGCTGGGTAGTAAACCTATTGGGATAGTATAACTCTTTTCAGGAGGAGCCCATTGTGTGTATGTGCTTTGCTGACTTTGGCTAGTCCGCGTCACATATGGGCAAAGCTTGTAGGAATCATCAGTCACATGGTAGAACTTAGCCCATGGGTTCAAGTTGGCTGATATAAGGAGGATATAAAATAGAAATTGAATTTAAATTAATGAGCAATGTTTGATGCTATATCATGCTATCTATTGATTTTTTCTCTTGGTGCATACATGTGATATTTGTTATCTGTTATGAAACAATGATATGTTTAATGATTGTTTTAACTGTTAGTCCTACTCGGTACCTCTTAGGGTGCCAGTAATGAGGTAATAGGAGTTTATGTTATTGAGATAATTGTCTCACTCTATTATTTTTACAAGTTAAAGCAGCAAAGGTGCTGTGTTGGGTAAGAGCACAAGGTTGGAGGTCGTGTGGCAAGGTCACTGTACCTCGCATTTTATTATGTTATATTTAGCTTTTGATTATTTTCCACCTAGGACATGGTCATATGTTGATTTATTTATGGACATTTGTTAATTTGGTTTATTAAACCCTTATTTTGTTATTTTATGGTTTGATTTGGTTTTTGAATAAAAGCCTAGTTTTGGGGCCTCGATTCGCATTATGATTGATGGTACATATGTGATGAGTACATGATTCTGGTATATTTTTTATTTAATTATTTTGATAGTAGTTTATTATTGGTTATAATTGTGTCAATTAGGTATAAGAAAGGATCCTCAATCCTTTTCTAACATGATTATGTATTCAAGGTAAGTAAAATCTTTAATAACCATGGTATGGTGTTTTGTAGACTATATATGTTTATATCATTGTTATGCAAAAAAAAAAAAGGTTAAATATGATAAGCAAGTTGTAAGGTGTTATATAAATTACTCACATTCACTTGCTTTCGATGTTTCCTCCTTCCACCACGTCGGTCTCCCAATCTCAACTCGTGCTGACTTTCTTCTCTCCTCTCTTTATTTTTTTTTTCCCTATTGCAAAGGGTATTTTTGTCATTTCTGTTAACTTCACAATACCAATTCATGTGGTCCCTTTTTTTGTGTCATTTGCAGCTGTTAACTATCTTTTTTGGGATTTAGTATTTTTAGGGTTCTTTTTTTTGTTGTTTTCACAATAAACAATTCGAATGAAATAATAATTATCTAAAATATTCCTGATTATTTCTAAATCCATACTCCATCAAAAGTGTAATAAAACGTGGGGAGAAATTTTGAAAAAAAAATTAAAAAAATAATTTGCATAGAACTCAAAATAAACAACGTTATTTTTCAATTTTTTTTTTTCAGACACTTGAGTGTCATTCAATCATTTTTTTCAAAATTATTAATTGTCATTAAAACAAAACAAGAACATTAACCAAATTAGTGGAGAAATAACATGACGGGGGTAAACAATAACAGAAAAAGGAGAGCAAAGCATGACGATTTATTTACATGTTAAGAATTTCAAAGGCGGCCACAAGTCTCTCGGTCATAGCCTAGAGTCCACGCTCGATGGAGAAACAGACCTCACAACGTGTTCACAGGTCACCAGTTCACGTTCACCTAACAATTTTGTACCATATTCTATACATTGTTGGCATCCAAAGGTCACAGAACGTTAAATGTTTATTTAGTCTATCACATTGGAAACTTCCCGATAACTTGCTTTTTGGTCACCCTTTCAACAAAACTGGACCCCACACGTCATTTTGTCCTTTTCTTTCGCCATCTTTCCGTTGAATTAGTTTATCTAACAATGTGCGAAGTGGATATTAAAATAACATGCCAACTGATAAACTTTCCAAAATTATCACGCCGTTAATATCACCGTTAATTCTTAGGAATTTGGGTTTTCATCCGTAATTTTAAATCGTTAGTTATGGTTGTTATAAGGAAAATTTTTTAAAAAATATCTTTAAAATTTTAAATCTCAAATCAGAATTTTTTTTAAATATTATCAATTGTTATTAAAATATAGTAAATAAAACTGATTTGAAATTTTAAAATTTTAAAATTTTTTTTTGGGATTCTTCTTTGTTATAATTTTATAAGCACTTTATTTTAGTTTACATAGCAATCAAATCAAACTTATTAAATATATCAATAATTTGTTAAACTCATATCAAATCCTTACAAAATTATAGAAATCAAAACCGACTAGTTAAAACTACAAGGATTGAAACTAAAATTTGATCAAGCTATGTAAAAGCTGACAATAGTATTCATCCTTGGCCCAAATAAAAAAAGAATTAAGCCATTATTATAAGTTAAGGTTAATCTATCATCCTGAATTTTTTTCCAAGTATATTTAGTATTCTAAATTATTTTATAGTTTAACTAATACACTTAAATATTTTTTTTTAGTATTTTGCAATTCGTCAAGCCTTTTAGAGTATTTTTCTAAGTGCGCTTAGCACATTTAAATATTTTGTGATAAAATTTTAGCCTTAAAATATTAAGATATTGGGCACATTTAAAAAATATTTAAATGTGGTGAATGGAGTATAAAATACTTGACGATGATACCAGGACTAAAAAATGTCCTAAAGTGCTGGATGAAGTTTGAACGCATTATTATGTATGCATACAGAATTATTGAAAATAGTTTTATTTATGATCATGGATGATAGCCGGTGGAGTCCTAGTGTCGTTTAAAAAAGGGAAACGGAAAGTAGAAAGAGCTAAAATTAATTGAAAAAAAAAAAGCAAATTATTTAGTGGGGGAGGTCTTGTTGCACTATATATAATTAGAACTTTTCGAGTTATATTCTCTTTCCTCCTCTCTCTTTTTTTCCTAGCAGTTAGATTGACATATTTCAATGATAATCATCTTTATAATCCGTAAATTGTGAGAGGTTTGTAAATTTTAGAAGTTGATATAGATTGTTGGAAAAAACAAAGTTTATTTGGAAATTTAGTTGCAAGCTTATTTATAAAACTGGAAAAAGATCAATTATAATTTAATGGTAAATAATGGAGAATTTGTAAATTGAAAGCTCAATTGAAAAATCAAAACTGCTATTGTAAATTGTGAATTTTTTTTCAAAATGATTAAAGACCGAATACAACCAGTTGATAAGTTAATTAGTTAATCTTCTTATTTTTACAGCTAAACTTTCAGGGTTTACAAATATTTTACACTACATGATTTTAATGTGCTACTAATTTTTCAATATTTAGGATTAAGCTTTCAGGTACAATTAAACTTAGGAGACTTGTAGCTAAGTAATGTACCGACCATGCGAGATATTTTTAAGCTTTGGCAATGTTCTATAATTTTATAAGCCCATGGTTTTCCAATGTTCCTTTGTTGTTGTATATCCCTATGCACCATTTTCCCATTAATATAATGTATCATTTTCTTTTTTTTTTTAAAAAAAAAAAGGAGTTAAAGTGTAATTTTGAATATAATCTTATTTTTCAGGTATGATTTTGTCCCTAATCTTTTTAGTGGTGCAATTTTGACCATAAAAGGCAAAATTACATCTAAAGATTAGGGATAAAATTGCAACTAAAAAAAGAATGAATGGTAAAATTGCACTTGAAAAATAAGATAGGAGCAAAATTGTACCACTAAAGGATTAGGAGTAAAATTGTACCTTAGAAATAAGGTCATGGTTAAAATTCCACCTTAACCCAAATAATATAATATGTCCTTGATTTATTGGTACATAATTTTATAAAAAATGTGTAAACTACTCCCTCCGTTTCTTATAATAAGATCTTTTTAACTAAATTGTGAGGTTTAAGAAAACAGTTAAAATTAGTTAAAAGCAATTAATATGTAGCAAATGTAATTTTTTTTCAAATATATTCCTATATATAAATAAGTAAATATGAGAAAGTAATAGTGAGATAAATGAAGAAAGAGAATGTATTAAATGAATTAAATTAAGAGTCAAATAGGTAATAATGTATTAAATGCTTAGACAAACTCAGAGAATTTTATAAAAAAAATAGACCCATTTAAAAAATTAGATCTTATAATAATAAAAGATAGTGCAAAAAGTGACATATAAAAAGAAATGGAGGGGGTAAATTTTTCGCTCTGCAATTTATAACTTTGAAAACAACAACAATTCTATGTGAAAAAACAATAAGATAAAGGTGTAATTTTATTCTTAGTCTTATTTCTCAAGTACACTAGGAGTCTGATTTTTTCTAATTGTATAATTTTACCCATGATTATTTTCTTTATGCAATATTACGTATGATTTTTTTGTACAATTTTACTCCTATCTTATTTCTCAAATATACAAAAAAAAAATTATGGGTAAAGTTGCACAAAAAAAATCACCGATAAAATAATACAACTAAAATGACCTGAAAAATTAGATCACATTTAGTAAAAAATAAACGATAATTTTACCGGTTAAAATTGTAACATTTAAAACTTTGACAAATAATTATTAATTATAAATTTCACAAGTTTAGATCATTCTCAAGTTTTCTTTGTCATCTCTGTGCCCAAACGTCAAACACCTACAAGTCCCAATTTCCGGCAACTTATTAAAATTTAGTTGACCAAACAAATCCCACTCCTCCTCAGCTGTATTCACACCCCAATAATTTGCTTATTTATTTATATATATTCCCATAATCACCCACTTAACTCGCTAAGTGACTCTGCCCTTCCATTTTTGTTCCGCACAGAAAAACAGAGCTCTTCGTCTTTCACAGAACAGGGGCGACCTGACCTTGTAAGAACACACACAGCCATGGCAGGCAAGCTCAAAGTGTTTGCTCTTCTGCTCCTATCAATCGCCACCCTTCTTCATGGCTCTTCCGCTCAAACCCGCTATGTTGTCGGCGGCAACACCGGTTGGACTGTCCCTCCCGGCGGCGCGTCCACCTACAGCAACTGGGCTTCTAACCAGAAATTCAAACAAGGCGACACTCTTGGTAACAAAACTCATACATAGTACCAATTAGTCCCAACACTTACTTTAATTTCTCCGTTCAGCGTAATAGCTCTTTGTCTTTTTGTTGTTCTGTGTAGTGTTCAGCTTTACAACCGGGCAACATGACGTAGCGAAGGTGACCAAGGCAGCTTTTGATTCCTGCAACACTACGAACCCCATTTCAATTCTAAATAACGGACCTGCAAGTGTCAAATTGAACGAAAGTGGTGAACACTATTATATTTGTACTGTTGGGCCTCACTGTTCTCTTGGCCAGAAACTCGCCGTTAATGTTTCCAAACAAGCTTCTTCTCCTTCTGCTTCCCCTGCTCCTCAGCCCTCTGCTTCACCGGCGAAGTCTCCTGCGCCAGTGAAAGCTCCTTCACCAGCCCCAGCTTCAGCTCCGTCTCCTTCATCTGGAGCTGTAACTTACACCGTCGGAGACAAAACCGGATGGACCGTACCTTCCAGCCAGGCGTTTTATAAGACCTGGACTTCTGGCAAGACCTTCAAAGTCGGCGACATACTGGGTAAGAGCAGAAAGTGTCGAGTATATTTCAAATGCTATGTTCTTGAGCTACTGGGTATTATGATTTGAGAATAGATATGGTGTTCTTGAGGTGAATCAAGTTTATTTCTGCTGATGGATTTGAGCGATTGGTGCAGTGTTCAACTTCCAGAAGAACGCACACAATGTGGCGGAGGTGACGAAGGCGAACTACGGCTCCTGCGGCACCGCATCTCCTCTTAGGCTTTACAATAGCCCACCGGTGAGAATGACCCTGAACAAGTCCGGCGAGCATTATTTCATCTGTGCGTTCCCCGGTCACTGCGCCGGCGGGCAAAAGCTGGCTATCAACGTCACCGGCGCCTCCTCCCCAGCGACCTCTCCATCTCCAAGTTCGCCGCCATCTCCCACTGCTCCTGCCCCCGGATCTCCCGCTTCTTCGCCCTCCGGTGGCGCCACAAACCCTTCATCCCCATCTCCCTCCGGTTCTTCCAGCCCATCCTCGCCAAACTCCGGTGCGACGTCGTACAGAGTTGCCGGATTACTCGCCACCCTTTTGTGGATGGCTGCAGCATTACTGTGTTAGATAGATGATTAGAGATTGTTGGTAGTGTAGAATTTGATGTGATTCGTTGTGGATCTTTGATTGTTTTTACGGAGATTGAGTCTTTTATTGGAGTTTTACAATAAAGTTGGATTTTCCATTCATATGCAGTTTTGTTTCACTAATTTACACATAAAGTTGTGGTTGTGGTTATAGTAACTTGGACAAATTTTAATTTGAACTAGAACGTGGGATGTTTATTAGTTCGGAGTGAATGTGCCTGTGATTTACAATTTAGTACAGGCTTTTATTTGTTTTATGTAGATTCTTTTCTTGGTCAGAAATATAGAATTACAGATAATCCATTCCTCCTTGTTCTCGTTTTTATGTTTTTGTTGTGTTGCTTAAGTTAGAATTCCCACTTCATGTTTATGTTTATGTACAATAACATGGTGTTAAAATTTAAAATTGTAGTTTGGTCAAATCAACTAACTAGTGAATCAATCTTTTCATGAGTAGGATCTAGGATTTGGGATGAGTCGAAAATAAATTTTTTTATTTTTTTTATTAAATTTAAAATGATGTTATCTTGAATTATAATATACGTAAATGAGAGGCTATACTATTCAGTAATTAAATCATACATATTTTTTAATCTTATTTGTGAGTTATTTCTAGCATGTTTTACTTGGTCCTGTAGATAGAACAAGAGAAAGATATATATATATATATATATATATAGATATGTTTTGCATCATGTTTAATCACACATAATTTTTTTTTTGGCCAATATAATCACACATAGTATAACTATATAGATTTTCACGATTTGAAAGCTATAAAGCTCACCTTGCTCAATGCCTTTTTCTGAGCTCAACAATAATACTACTTGACAAAATGTAAACCCGCTAACTCATTATAATATTTTTATGTAATCCCAATTTAATCCCATTAAGCCTGCACTCTAAAATAAATTTTATACAAGAATATCCTTATTTACCTTTTGCATTTTATAATTTATTTTGAAATATCATATGCATATATTTTCCTATGCATAAATGTTATAAGTTTATTTGACTGATACTTATAAAGTTTTTTAATTAAGTCATACCAGTCTCAAGATTTTGAATACAAGAAAGAAATATTTTGTAGGGAGTAATTACTATTTTTTAAGAGAAAATTATCCTCAGATGAGTAACCATTTTTATCAAGACATTGCAAATCAAATCTCCAATAGCAATAAACTAAAATTAGTTTAGAACGTTTTCCTAAAAAATCAAACAAAATAATAAAAGTTTTATCATATTATCCTAATGATCAAAATAAATACTCGGTTACTTGTGTAAATCCAATCAATTCGTTATCTACTTTTGATACTATTGATATGAAATTTTTTTGATTGAAATTGTCAAATTTTATACAAGTCAGTTTTTCCAACTCATTCGGTAATGCTTGATAGCTTTTGACTTGTATCATTAATAGTTTTATCCCTCAATTTGCATCTTTCAAAGAAATCAATAATCTTGTAGAAAAACAAGTTGAAATTGGATTAAAAAAGTTGTTATTTCAATCAAAGAGTTTGGAAAACAGGTTGTGCAATTGAATGCTTGTCTAATAATGAATCATATTAAGAGATTTTCAATAGTATTGGGTATTGACAATATTGAACTTACTGTACAGCTATTCTAAAACATAACATTAGATAACAAACAAAACAATTTTATATAAAATATTTAATTATTTTTGAAATAATTGGATTAATGTTTTTAAGTTAAATTACACCCCGTAATTCAGGATTATGACTTCCTCTCGGCAGGGATTGAACCAGGAAAATTGCTCGGGGTGGTGAAGTATATGTATATTTGTATATATGAATATTATTTTAATGAAAATATACTTATACATAATAATAAGATCTTTAAAAATAACCTAAAAATATGATAAAAATAAAAATTATAAGAAAAATTCTAATAGTCGTTCTATGAGAAAAACTAGTTGTGTTTTATTTATTTTGTAAATTTTAAATTTTTAATCGATAAGAATTTTCTTAATGATAAGATCATGTCCAAGACTATTCCTAGGAGGGGAAATATACTACTAGAACTTTAGAATTGTGCGATATATACCAACAATCTAGCCTAACTTTAGCCTGCTTTTAGTAAACCAGATATGCCTAATCCTCCAAATAATTTTAGATGAGGTCGTATTAAGTAACATACCATTTAAAAATTAAAATCAACAACATTTGAAAAATAATATATTCCATATCTAACACTAGCACGTCTTATCAAAGAAGCTGACAAAAATACTCTCAATATCTTAAATCACTCAACAACTCTTCCAAATTTAACAGCAAGAAGGCCTTATATCATTATGTGAGATAAGCTATATAGATTGCACAATACTATTACGTTCTATCAATAGTTAAATCTTTAGATAAATTGTTAATCTAACAACCTTGCTCAATAATTTCATAGAGTAACTACAAATGCTTGAAGGACATTCGAGTAACAATCCTGTTATCATAGTAGTGAATCTCAAAATTCAAGAATGTAAATTGTTACTCATTTTGTTGCTAGCTTCTTTATGAGGGCTTTTAATTGCATAATCATCTTTCGGATCAGTTTTAGGTTTTTTTAAATAGAACAACTATGTATAAAATTTGCTCAAAAACTGGTCATAACTGACAATTGAACTGGCATAATTGAATGCTATAAAAGTATCAAAATTTTGAAACTCTAGGATTGGATAGAAGCTTAAAACATTGGTTTTTGACTGTTTTCATATTCTGATGGCGAATTGTTGAGTTCACTGTTGTGAAGAAATTGTCTTGTTGCAGTAACAGTACTTGTGACTTTGTCGTGAAGAAAGACAAATGAGGAGCTCATGTTTGTATCCCTTATGTTTTCACTATGTGTTCGCATGATGCTTATGCTTAAGATGAATATGATGTTATGGCATGCTAACAACTATCGGATATATATGAATTGAATCTCATATGTGATAAAGTGATTATACTATATGTTGGAATAAAGATATGCCATAGTTATATGTGCAATGTGTAACTTATGGGGAGGTATTGTGATAGACATGTATTGAATCACCACGTGGTTTGCTTCTATAGGGTATACTATGAATGTCACTTGGCACTTTGAAAAAAATAGCACACCCTCATTTGCGATACTATCCTAGAGCTGTGCACCCCGAGGGCAACATACCCACGAGGTAGGACTGAGCAAGCAACCCGCAACTCGCAATACCCGCCCGCAACCCGTGAAAACTTTACCTATTTAGGCCTGCCCAAAAAAGATGTAAAATGGGCTAGCTTAAAAAGCTGGGCTAATTAAATAAACGGGCAGGCTACGGGCATACCCCCGGGCTGCCTGTGCCTGCCCATATATTTTTTTATTTGTTATGTGTATTTTTTTATTATAATATAATGTTTTCGGCAACTGCAAAACACATGTAGCCCTTGGTTTAGTGGTTTAAATATCTTGCCCACCAAAGTAGTGTTTACTCCCAGGTTCGAATCTGATTCCCGTAACTTTTCACTACTTTTTTTTTGTTTTTATAATAAATTTTAAAACTCAAAAACTAAATGTAGATGGAACCCTCGTCTTCTTCGGTCTTAGGTGCTCTAAACCATCGCCGTCTTTTTTCCTCCAACTATTTCCACGCATCGCTATTGTTGCCGCCGCCTTCCTCTTCCACCTGTTTTTATCTTCTTTTTCCCTGTCACATTGCCATTACAAGCTCCTCTTTCGTCACTGCTAAGCCCCCTCAGCTCAACCTCCAATCTCCGCCACACGACGAGCAATGAGCGACGGGCGACAGCAATTAAGCAACCACTCTCATGGCTCACTTGATTCGGATCTATGTATTTCTGCTTGTAATAGTTATTGTCGATGGGTCTAAGAATTTTGTGATTTTTGCTGAGATTTTTGTGTCCTTCTTCATCCTCCTTAGTATTCTTCTTCAATCTATCACCTGCAAAAAATTTTCCCAGCTACTCTTGTTGAATCTTTTCTCTTTTTGCCACGTTGCCGTTGAATCTGGATCTTTTGATTATTATTATTATTATAGTCTGAATTGTTAGACTTTGATTCATGACCTCTTGTTGCTACTTTTTCTAACACTTGATTCTAATTTTGCATCTGAAATTTCCTCTTTTTTTTCTATGGCTGGATGTGAAAACGGGCTACCCGCAACCTGTTGTAACCCGCCCATGTTGGCACAATCCGTTTAATCCAGGCTTAAATGGGTTTTCAACAGCCCGCACCCGTTTAAAGTTAAACAGGCGGGCTACGGGTTAGCCTCCGGGCTGCCCAACCCACCCGTTACTCACCCCTACCACGAGGATATCGAGCAGTAAACTCACTAGCGTAGCGTACTTTTTTTCTAGAGGAGTCTATGGCCTGTGTGTGCTCTGCTGACTTTGGTTGGTCTGCATCACACATGAGGAAAGCTCATAGGAATCACTAGTCACATAGTAGGATTTAGGCTATGGATTCAGGTTGGCAAGTGTAAGGAGGATATGAGACATGAATTAAACTTAAATAAAGAGCAATAGTTAATGAATTAAACTTGTCTATCTTTTCTTTGTTCTATGTTACTTGTTATATGCTATCTGTTATGAAATCTTAACTTGAGTAACGTTTACCTTGTCATTTTAGTTTCATTGGCTACTTCTTAGAGGTGTTAGTAGAATGTTTGTCTCACTTTGTTACTTTTGCGGGTGAGAGTAGCAGAAGAGCTGCACCAGGAAAGGAGCATGAGGCTAGAGGTCATGGGGCAACGTAACCCCTTCCTTGCACTTTATCTTATTATGTTTAACTTTTGATTATTTGCCATATAAAGCATGGACGTTCATTGTTTTAGCTATGGTTATTTGTTGAGTTTGGTTTACTGAACATCTATTCTATTATTTTATGATTTGGTCTTGTTCCTAGACAAAAGCCTAATTTTGGGGCTTGGATTCATATTATGTTTCATGACATGCTTGTAATGAATAATTGGTTTGATCCATTTCTTTTGAAAGTAGTTTATTATCTGTTACGACTACGTCTATTATGTCTAAGAAGAGATCTTTTATAACTATATTATAGTTCAATCCTTTCTAATATAGTTATACATTGAATGTGAATAAGTCTCGTTTATAACCACAATATAGTGCTATATAGATTGTATGTGTTTGTTTCTTTTATATATTGTGGTTATGAGAAAAATAGGGTAAGTATGGTAAGCAGGTTATAAGGTGTTACATTGAGAGAGTAATGAAGAACCAAATCACAACAAATATGTTTTCTTTAATAATATTTTATTTTTATTAATTGTAAGGATAAAATAGTCTTTTCGTAACTT